TAAGTGGGAGAACTTGCGCAATTGGTGGCTGACTAAATACTTTTTTGCCCCACTGTATCTATCAAAGTAGATGCCTCAGAAGAGTTGCAGTTGAGCTAGCCTAAAGCTGGCATTTTCTCACAAGAACCAAAACATTTTCTGTTCAAATCATCGCTCAATCATGAAGTCACTCTGCAATGTATGTCTCTGCCTTGAGAATTACAAATTAAGTTTATATAAAATATTTTAGCACTTGAGATATAAATTATTAATTACTTAAGTAATTAATAAATCTCTTCCATTACAGTACAGAATTCCCTCAGCAACCAAAACTCAACATATTTTCTGGTTATTTCATTGTCATTGATGCAAAAGCAAATTATTTTATTTTACTACAGAAAATAATTTAGGAAAAAGTTTAAAACATTGCAAATATGACTGAACTATCCAGAGTTCTTGAAAATGCCTCTAATGGTATGGTCTTAAAACATCAGACAGAATATTTTTATAATTATTATATCTAATCTAATAAAATAATTATCTACCATTAATTTTGTCATTGTTCGTCTTGGTCCACCTATAAACTGAGTGTCCTCTGGAACCTTTTCTGGCTCTTTAAAAACTGTGCAGGTAACTGTGCAGGCACTCCGACGGCATTCATTTTGTAAAGAGTATGATCCACTATTCAGGAAATTCTTTATATTGCATTTGACAGTGGCTTCCTTTATCCCAGGTACTTCTTGAACCCTTTGGTACCAGCCCAATATTAAAGGCAGTTGTAATACGTTGTTTTGGTGTTTCTTGCAGACAGCCTTAAAATGATACAAAAAGTTTATGAATCAAACTGATGTACAAAAAGTGCCTTCCCTATTGAATACATACGCCCAATAATGTTGGTTTTCTTGATGTTTATTCTCATACATGGGATAATTATTCATGTTCAGTAGTTTAGGGAGCTCAAAATTCCAAAGAAAAATGGAGATTTGTACTTATTGCTAAAACCCTACAACTATCAGAGTTACCATTTATTTTTTGTCTCCTCCATGGGTTACTCAAAGTAAGCTACCGTTCAGCATTTATCTTTATGCTGCATTTACATTTCACAGACTGTTTTTCTTTTGCAGAGGATGGAAGGAGGGGGAAGGCAAGGCAAACATTTCTTAATTTAATAAATATTTCATTTCTCCTATGGCTCCAGTTAGGCATTTCCAAGCTAAAGCCATATGGGCAGGATATGTTAACTTTGCAGAAAAGCTTGGTTGGAATTATACTTATGCCTTACTAAATCATCCAATAATTAATGCTGTTCATGAATGAGTGCTACTGAAAGGAATAAGACAAGTATTAGTCACAAACATATTGGATAAGATTGGATGAAATACTATTATGGTCTAAATAGAACCAGTATTCTGACTTTTATTAAACAGTATGAAACATGCAACTAAAATGAACAATCAAACAAAAAATCCTAACAGAAAAATTCTGGTGTTGCAGTTTGTTTTTTATATTAGAAAATAAGCAGACATGGAGTGGAACTTATGGGAAAATAACACACGCAAGTTTACTGCCATGTATTAATTAGGATTAGTTATAGGAAAATGTCTTTATATTGTTCATCCATGTAACAGACGAAACCATTTGTTTCAAGCAGGATTATCAATGAAAAATTATGACCTACTCTGAAAATATTAGATGTTATAAATCCTGTTTAGTTAAGCTGTCCTAGGCAAGTGTAGACAAAGAAGGATCTAGAATTATAATTATACTGACCTGCAGAGGCAGCAGCAATCTTAAACACACTTATTTAGAAGTTATATCTAAGTAGATTAACACTGTCTTCACTCCCAGATCTGTATATATCAAGAGAAGAAACTATCTGTAGGATAAAGATGAACAAACCCATGCATAGGCTGCAAGGATTGAGCACTTCCCACAGCTTATTATTGCTGAGCTTTTACTTTCAAAGAACAGGAATAAATGTATTCATTCTTACCAAAAAATGATGGATACATGGCAAGAGAACTATGTCTGTCAAAGTGAAATAAAGCCCTTCAGCAAACACATGCTCCAAAGGTGGAAGTTCAGATGTTTTTATTTTCCTAATGTGAGATGGCTCCCTGTTGGTAGCAACTGGCATCTTCTGCAAAGTTAGTTTAGAAAAAGCTATTTTCAGTTCCAAATCTGCAGGAGCAGATTCCTGGTTTTCCACAATCCTGTCTTCTTTTGGGGAAAGATCAGTCCTTGCTGTCTTGTCAAATATCTTTTGCTGTTGAACTTTCTGTCTTCTAATTTTGTCATCGTTGTGTACTCTTACAGGTTCCCCCAATTTCTTTTCAAACTGCAGTATCTCTTCAGGAAGATCCTGATGCTGATTATTATGAGATACTTTCAGAAAGTTTTCAACTGCCAGAGGAATGCTGATTTCACAAAGTCTGGTCCATTCACTAACCTAGAAATAAATATATGTCAGTGTGATACAACAGTTAAAGAGTTGGATTATAACTGGGAATATTCAGTTTCTAGTCTACTCTCAACTAAGTAAATTCAGTGGGTGACTTTGGGGTAAGCATTGTCTCTCAGCCCAACCTACAGAAAGGCGTACAAGATAAAATGAAGGGAGATGTAACTCTTGAGTTCCTGGACAAAATATGGGATATATTATTATTATTATCATTATTATTATTATAATCATCATTAACATCAATGTTACAAAGAGGCTGACCATTTACTGAGGATTAGTATGACAATAACAATCAGCTGTAAGACATAAGCATTCTAACAAATTATTGAAATAGCATACATAAATTATTCAGTTGTTTTTGCAGCAACAGAAATAAATCTCTAGACATACTCACTGAATCAGATTCAAAAGCTAGCATCGTATACCTAAAATAGCTCCAAGTTTGTATTACTCAAAAAATGGACTTTTTGTCACACAGCAAACCAGTTTTGAAGCTGAGTTAAAATTCATAAGACTTTAAGATATATCACTAAGACTAATATTCAAAGAAAAACAAGACTCCAGGGGATATTCTGTAGTAGTATACTTAACTATTTTATATAGCTTGTTTTAAACATCTATTGTTGTGCTATGTAGATATATATTTTGCTTTTATATACTAGAAGATCATGTAGAAATATATTTGATCTTGATTGCAAAGCATATTCTACTATTTTAATAATAAACTTACTTCAGCACAAGCTTTCAAACAGGTCTTTTTAAAGCCCAAAAGTTCCAAAACTCCATTCTTTGATGGATCTGCCTCATAGGTTTTCTCTACTATATACCTCAGTACCACAGCAAGTCCTGCTCGACAAAATTTTCCATTCTTTTCAACAACAACAGGTAAACAGCAGCTTTGAGCCACCACAGGAAGTTCACATCTTTTGACGAAGCTAATCTCCGGGTACTTTGACAGTATTTGTTCAGTATGTTGTGCATCATTAATTATTTCACTTGAAGATACTAGAAATATCCTGAAGGTCTTACAATCACAATATGCCAACAGAAACAAGGATATAGATGTGTGCAGAGGGTAGATACAGTCTTCATTCTGACTGAAGTAGTCTAGATATAGGTGGTCTTCAGCAACACTTTTCATGTTTTCCTTAAAACAAGAAATGTAATTTTAAAAAACAAGAGGTAGTCTTATATATTTACAAATCAATGTACTATACCCTAAAATAGAGCCCTAAGAGGAAAATATATCATTTCTCTGTTTTTCTTTCAGAACACTTACAAAGTAGAATTAATTCGTGTTATGTCTGGAGAGCAATCCAATGCTGAGTGTTCTTCTCTCTGAAACATTTAAGATTTTATTTGTCTCAGTCTAACACCATTACCTTATGCTATTCCACCCTTCACATTATTGGTTATCTATTAGAATTAAATTAAAAATAATTTAGGAGCAACAGAGATATATTCTTGCACATTTCTAGGAAGGCAGAAAATTCAAAAAGAATTATTCAGTGATGCATTACCATTTTACAACTTTCAAATGGTAATACTTTAACACTAGACAGCATACTTTCAAAACAGTTTTAGCTAAAGACCATAATATTGTTATAAAATGACATTATAACAAGGCCAGTTACTATTTGCAAGAATAACTATACAGTACTTGGTGTTTTGGACTTAAGATAGTATGAAGTGTTTATCAGCCAATATAGTTATACTGGAGCTGTATACTAATTAAGGTGTGAGAAGCATCTCTTTAGAACATACTATGTGTACACATTACTAGAGTAGTAATTTATTACATTGTTTATATATTGTAAGAGCATCTCATTCAGGAGCTAGTAGCAAATTTACTGTAAATAGGGAATTTACAGTATCTGGGGAGGATGGCCTATTCACAAAATGGCTGTGATATGAGTATGGTCAGCCACAAAAACAATTATTTATCAGAAAGCAAGCTGATAAGATAGATCCTTGCTATGACTTCTTAGTTCTAAGGGTGTTCTTTAAATTCAGATTAAATCTGAATTCGGCTGAGAAGATGAACAGCCCTTCACTATTTTTATTTTCTAAGAATACTTATGGAGCCTGATGGGAAAGGAGGCATAGGCATTCCTAGTAACAAAGAACGGAATGGAAATTACTTATTTATCAAAACTACATGTCAAACTCATGGCAGCTTACAGTAATTAAAACATCAATATTATTTATTTTAAAAATAATGTTTTAAAAATAAAAGCACCTGGGAATAGTGAGTCAGAGGTTCTGGAAGAGGTATCTGTAGACACACTGAGGCCCAGGAGCCAAGCTTGTTTACACCACCATGTACAATATACAACTGTCCTTAAACATTGCTCGTAAAACATTAGCTCTTTGTTTAATGATTTTTCAGAATTTCACCTCTATACAATATTGAGGTTACAATTCTAAGCACACTTTAAATCCCAGTAAATGTTACAACACTTATTCCTGAATAAATATGCCCAGAATTGTACAGAGGAATAGCCACCCAAAGCTTGTTTGAGAATAAATTACACTAAATCAATGGGATATGCATTCAAGTAAACACACTAAATATGTACTACATAGGTACATATTCTGAAGCAGGACCTGATTCTTAAATGGAATACTGTAAGGGATTCACTGTTTTAATTAGGAATATTCAACACATTATCCAGAGTTTCCACAAATATATTTTAAAGCGATGTACCAGCAGCATTTTAACTGCTAGTTCTTCCCTTTCTTGCTTAATATTGCATGAACTATGTAATTACAGTTCCTGCTCATTAAGTCCTAAGGACATGATCGTCTTACATCTATAACTACAGCCGCAGCTTTCTAGATGATCCTTTTCAGCCAATGTTTTAATTCCACTTTTTCTTTACTAGAGTTAGCTGAAGAAAGAAGTAGCTCTCTACACTACTTTTAAATTCATTTCATAGAAAGCAAGGACGTGACGCTCTCAATTAAAAGGATGTCCAAGGCAAGTACATTATTCCTTATTCATAGGTGGGTCCCAAGCAATAAGAGCTCCTTTCAGTGGAGAAAAAATACTAACAGAATACAAGAAAACCATTAGAAAGGCATTTCTTCTCCATTTCATCCTTCTAGATTTGTTTCCTTATGGTTATTATTACCTAAATAACCGTAACCCCATTTTTTTAGTTTCATAGTAGATTTTTTATTTATATTTCTTTCACTTCTCTTACAGATGCATTATGCAGAATTCCACATGAAATTATACATGTTTTATCTTACTGGCCTTGTTTGATATACAAACTCATATATTAGAATGCATTTCTTCTCTTTGCAAATATTATTTACCCCATACAAAGGATCTAAGATACCTTGCAAATGCATAGTTCATCTTATTTAAAGAATACTGCATGCATCAATACATAAACCAGTAAGCATCAACATAAGAGCTGATAATGTAGTTTTTTAAAATAAAATGTGTAGCACTAACAATCACAGTTCATGGCATAGCAACTGCAAGATTAGCACCTTTATTTGGTCTCATTATATATTATGTTCATGTTTGTAAATCTATTAAAGCCCTTTCTATTATTATGTAAACAACTCAATGATGTTACATAAAATATTCATCTAGGAAAAAAATCAAGGTAGGAAATAATGACCAACACAAGACTTCTTGTATGTTCAAAAAGGTATTTGCTTTCTACCAATGTGACTTGTCCTTCAAACAAAAGGGTCTCATCCTGAAATGAAAAATTTGAACTATTCACCTCAGTGACTAGATTTGTTTTTGCTACTATAAAATATAAATTACCAAAAAATATAAGTAATGTTTTTAAAAATGCAGTAATCTACAGAGCTAACCAGAAGAAGATTGTACTTACCACAAAGTTTCAATTATAAGCCAGAATCTTGGCAAAGATGGTTTTGTATAACTATTCTAAATAAATAAATAAATAAATAAATAAGAAAGAGATGTTCCAAAATTGAAATTCAAGATAAGGACTTTACAATAATTCAGGCAGATAATTCATGTTTCCCATATAAAAGACTGACAACAAAATAATATAGACTGCACAAACATTTTTTTTCACCATATTATAGAGAAAATATGTCATCTATGGTAATAATTGCTGCATGGGTTGCCAAACTGTGGATAAGAACTGAAGGACCTGCAAACCTAATTATGAACTAAGTCTGCCCTCTTGGCTATGCAATGTTGTTGCTTGTTTCATTTCATTTGTTAGTTCAACAAATGAAAAACTATGAAATAGGATCTGAAATGAAAACTGTACTGAAATACACACTAGAGTTGCATGCCTTTTACATGACTATTAACAGAATTACAAACATTCACAGAGGATACATCTGTTAACGGCTACAAATCATTATAGTTCCATGCTATGTGAAGGCACAGAAAGAGTGACTTGGTTCACGCACACTGCTAAATCATAATATGGCTTGCTTGGTTTAGTGTAGTGTTCCTCAGGACCCTTTCCCACTCGGAGGATTCCAGAAAAGCTTTTGTTTGTATGGGTTATATTTATCAATATTTACTGTATTAAAAATTAAAACTGACACATTTGCTGCTGCTATCATTTCTTACAATTGTTTGATGGGATTTTAATATTATATCATTTTTCAACATAGGCTATCAAATAATTCTGATTTCAAGGTCCTTGAGAGGGTCTTGGGGAACTCCCAGGGGTTCTAGGACCACACTTTAAGAAACACAGGTTCAGTGTATTGACAGTACCTAGTTGACTGGTCAGCAGCTGTTTTTCCAAAAAAAAAAAGAGAGAGAGAGCAACCACATCTAGATAAAATTAACTGTAATCTCAATATAATTATTGAAACAAACCTGAACTGGATATGTGGGTTTCTGGCTGGATATGCACAAACCACAATGGCTGTGTTCACGCAGTACAGGAAAATAAAACCAAAGAAATCACACTACGGCTTAATGTTTGATGTAGTGTAAATAATGCCTTCATTAGTCCCCAAGAGTCATTCCACCTTCATCCCCTCTCCCAGGAACCATTTGTTGGACTCTAAGCCTTTGCATAAAAATTAAGCAAATTCTCAAGTTAAGGCTTATTTAATTAAATGAAATTAAGTAAATTGCTAAACTACAGCGATTAGCAACAGCTTTCTAGATTTCCTGGCTGTATTGGAGGTTCCACTGAGTAGTCAGCATGTTAAACCAAAAAATAAACACACACCATACACTGTAGGGCTTATCACAATATATGAAGTCAGTCAGTGTGATTTTAGTAATTATTCCACAAATCTTATGCTCTATCTTCAGGAATTCTCAGGACTGCACTTTCAACCTTATTTGAAAAGCAACGGAGTGGTCACCAACTGGATATCTGTATCTCCCTACTGACTATTCTCAATCTGGGCTGATATGAAAAGCCTGAACAGGATCAGATTTGGTCACTATCTGGATGGGGAACCACTAGGAAATCTCACAGCTACAGGCTAGACCAGGAAGGGTTTAAAAAAAAAAATGGGGGACAGCAATAACGAATCATCTTTGTTGCCCAAAAAGGTAAACAGATGTGTCCTTGAAGTAAATAGGAATCAGGTCCACTCAAAGGAGACTTTAGCTGTATAACATCCTCTCAACTACTCATCCCTACGCAAAAGAAGCCTGGGGAAAAGAGATGGCTACAGGTAGGAAATACTGTAGCTGCAGATAGCTGAGAATCAGAAATTGGATTTTAATTTCCATTTCATGCCGACCACAAAAGGAACAGAGCATATGCAGCCTTCAGGCTTATTTTTATCAGGGATGGGAAGCCTAATCACGATCCTCTCCCCCATCCTTTAAAAAAGTGGGTATTCCGAAACACTTGCTAGAAGGGCATATAGTGATCGGCGTGGGGAGAAAAACACTCTGCACTCGCTCAGGAGCGTCTTACTCGAGCGGCTGTCCGCGGGCCCAGACTCCTCAGTTCCCAGCCCTGAACCGAGGACTCGGGGACTGAGCGCCGCCGCCTTCCCACCGGGGATCCCTTCGGGGCTTACCGAGAGGGTTCTTCTCCCCCGAAGCTCCACCCTTTCCTCCGCTCCGTCCGGGTTGGAGATCGTCGCTTCCGGTGTCAGGCCGGGGAGCGCGGCCGACCGGCATCAGCAGGAAGGAGTCGGAGCCTCCCAAAGCGGTAGATGCCGGGGTGGCGCGGTGTTGGCGGGAAAAAGAGGACGTCCCTACGGGGTTT